ATAACAGTCCACTGTCACCACCGAGGATAACAGTCCTCTGTCACTACCGAGGATAACAGTCCACTGTCACCACCGAGGATAACAGTCCTCTGTCACTACCGAGGATAACAGTCCACTGTCACCACCGAGGATAACTGTCCACTGTCACCACCGAGGATAACAGTCCACTGTCACCACCGAGGATAACAGTCCTCTGTCACTACCGAGGATAACAGTCCACTGTCACCACCGAGGATAACTGTCCACTGTCACCACCGAGGATAACAGTCCACTGTCACCACCGAGGATAACAGTCCTCTGTCACTACCGAGGATAACAGTCCACTGTCACCACCGAGGATAACTGTCCACTGTCACCACCGAGGATAACAGTCCACTGTCACCACCGAGGATAACAGTCCTCTGTCACTACCGAGGATAACAGTCCACTGTCACCACCGAGGATAACTGTCCACTGTCACCACCGAGGATAACAGTCCACTGTCACCACCGAGGATAACAGTCCACTGTCACCATCGAGGATAACAGTCCTCTGTCACCACCGAGGATAACAGTCCTCTGTCACCACCGAGGATAACTGTCCACTGTCACCACCGAGGATAACTGTCCACTGTCACCACCGAGGATAACAGTCCACTGTCACCACCGAGGATAACAGTCCACTGTCACCACCGAGGATAACAGTCCTCTGTCACCACCGAGGATAACAGTCCTCTGTCACCACCGAGGATAACAGTCCTCTGTCACCACGGAGGATAACAGTCCTCTGTCACCACCGAGGATAACAGTCCTCTGTCACCACCGAGGATAACAGTCCTCTGTCACCACCGAGGATAACTGTCCACTGTCACCACCGAGGATAACAGTCCTCTGTCACCACCGAGGATAACAGTCACTGTCACCACCGAGGATAACAGTCCTCTGTCACCACCGAGGATAACAGTCACTGTCACCACCGAGGATAACAGTCCTCTGTCACCACCGAGGATAACAGTCCTCTGTCACCACCGAGGATAACAGTCCTCTGTCACCACCGAGGATAACAGTCCACTGTCACCACCGAGGATAACAGTCCTCTGTCACCACCGAGGATAACAGTCCTCTGTCACCACCGAGGATAACAGTCCTCTGTCACCACCGAGGATAACAGTCACTGTCACCACCGAGGATAACAGTCCTCTGTCACCACCGAGGATAACAGTCACTGTCACCACCGAGGATAACAGTCCTCTGTCACCACCGAGGATAACAGTCCTCTGTCACCACCGAGGATAACAGTCCTCTGTCACCACCGAGGATAACAGTCACTGTCACCACCGAGGATAACAGTCCTCTGTCACCACCGAGGATAACAGTCCTCTGTCACCACCGAGGATAACAGTCCTCTGTCACCACCGAGGATAACAGTCACTGTCACCACCGAGGATAACAGTCCTCTGTCACCACCGAGGATAACAGTCCACTGTGACCACCGAGGATAACAGTCCACTGTCACCACCGAGGATAACAGTCCACTGTGACCACCGAGGATAACAGTCCACTGTCACCACCGAGGATAACAGTCCACTGTCACCACCGAGGATAACAGTCCACTGTCACCACCGAGGATAACAGTCCACTGTCACCACCGAGGATAACTGTCCACTGTCACCACCGAGGATAACAGTCCACTGTCACCACCGAGGATAACAGTCCTCTGTCACCACCGAGGATAACAGTCCACTGTCACCACCGAGGATAACAGTCCTCTGTCACCACCGAGGATAACAGTCCACTGTCACCACCGAGGATAACAGTCCACTGTCACCACCGAGGATAACAGTCCACTGTCACCACCGAGGATAACAGTCCTCTGTCACCACCGAGGATAACAGTCCACTGTCACCACCGAGGATAACAGTCCTCTGTCACCACCGAGGATAACAGTCCACTGTCACCACCGAGGATAACAGTCCACTGTCACCACCGAGGATAACAGTCCACTGTCACCACCGAGGATAACAGTCCTCTGTCACCACCGAGGATAACAGTCCACTGTGACCACCGAGGATAACAGTCCTCTGTCACCACCGAGGATAACAGTCCACTGTCACCACCGAGGATAACAGTCCACCGTCACCACCGAGGATAACAGTCCACTGTCACCACCGAGGATAACAGTCCACTGTCACCACCGAGGATAACAGTCCACCGTCACCACCGAGGATAACAGTCCACTGTCACCACCGAGGATAACAGTCCTCTGTCACCACCGAGGATAACAGTCCACTGTCACCACCGAGGATAACAGTCCACTGTCACCACCGAGGATAACAGTCCACTGTCACCACCGAGGATAACAGTCCACTGTCACCACCGAGGATAACAGTCCACCGTCACCACCGAGGATAACAGTCCTCTGTCACCACCGAGGATAACAGTCCACTGTCACCACCGAGGATAACAGTCCACTGTCACCACCGAGGATAACAGTCCACTGTCACCACCGAGGATAACAGTCCACCGTCACCACCGAGGATAACAGTCCTCTGTCACCACCGAGGATAACAGTCCACTGTCACCACCGAGGATAACAGTCCACTGTCACCACCGAGGATAACAGTCCACTGTCACCACCGAGGATAACAGTCCACTGTCACCACCGAGGATAACAGTCCACCGTCACCACCGAGGATAACAGTCCACTGTCACCACCGAGGATAACAGTCCACTGTCACCACCGAGGATAACAGTCCACCGTCACCACCGAGGATAACAGTCCACTGTCACCACCGAGGATAACAGTCCACTGTCACCACCGAGGATAACAGTCCACTGTCACCACCGAGGATAACAGTCCACCGTCACCACCGAGGATAACAGTCCACTGTCACCACCGAGGATAACAGTCCACTGTCACCACCGAGGATAACAGTCCACTGTCACCACCGAGGATAACAGTCCACCGTCACCACCGAGGATAACAGTCCACTGTCACCACCGAGGATAACAGTCCACTGTCACCACCGAGGATAACAGTCCACTGTCACCACCGAGGATAACAGTCCAGTGTCACCACCGAGGATAACAGTCCTCTGTCACCACCGAGGATAACAGTCCACTGTCACCACCGAGGATAACAGTCCACCGTCACCACCGAGGATAACAGTCCACTGTCACCACCGAGGATAACAGTCCACTGTCACCACCGAGGATAACAGTCCACCGTCACCACCGAGGATAACAGTCCTCTGTCACCACCGAGGATAACAGTCCACTGTCACCACCGAGGATAACAGTCCACCGTCACCACCGAGGATAACAGTCCTCTGTCACCACCGAGGATAACAGTCCACTGTCACCACCGAGGATAACAGTCCACCGTCACCACCGAGGATAACAGTCCACTGTCACCACCGAGGATAACAGTCCACTGTCACCACCGAGGATAACAGTCCACTGTCACCACCGAGGATAACAATCCAGTGTCACCACCGAGGATAACAGTCCACTGTCACCACCGAGGATAACAGTCCACTGTCACCACCGAGGATAACAGTCCACTGTCACCACCGAGGATAACAATCCAGTGTCACCACCGAGGATAACAGTCCAGTGTCACCACCGAGGATAACAGTCCAGTGTCACCACCGAGGATAACAGTCCACTGTCACCACCGAGGATAACAATCCAGTTCTTCTCTGACCACAATATCTGGGAAACAGTGTTTCATGTTTTTTATTTATGTTACTTTTAAATTGATTATATTTATTTTCATAGTAGCTTATTTGGGTGTGTGTACTTACCTAGTTGTGCTTGTGGGGGTTGAGCTCTGGCTCTTTGGTCCCACCTCGTGTGTGTGTGTGTGTGTGTGTTTACCAAAGTGTAGTTACAGGATGAGAGGTATACTCGTGGTGTCCCTTCCCAGTACTCTTTGTCGTATAACGCTTTGAAATTACTGGCGGTTTTGGCCACCCCCCTTCTCACTTAACTTGTTAAAGTTTCAATCTTACCTATACCTATAGGTATAGGTAATATACCTATACCTATAGGTATAGGTAATATACCTATACCTATAGGTATAGGTAATATACCTATACCTATAGGTATAGGCAAGATCTCATACGGCATCAACTTAATACGAAGAAGGAAGCCCTCAACCCCTACAGAGCAGGCTGAGCAGCAGTTAAATAAATGGACCAATACAACACTCCCAACCAACTCAAACCATCAACAGTGAACTACTCAACCTAAAACAACAACACAAAACTGATGTAGAAACCAAGACTGCCAGAAAGTTGACAGCCCTAAACGGTTGACAGTTAAAGATCCCTCGTCCTAAAGATGGCTCCATAAACCTCACAACTTACGATCTTACTCAGGACCAACAAGACCTCTTGAATCTTGGTCTAAACTGTCAATTCTTATCAAAACCAAAAAAGCATCAAAAACGCCTTGAAATCGAAAAGTTTCTGGACGACATTCACAAGTTAGAAGACAACAAGAAAGTCAGTGTGGCGTCACACAGTGTAGCGTAACCCAGTGTGGCGTCACACAGTGTAGCGTAACCCAGTGTGGCGTCACACAGTGTGGCGTCACACAGTGTGGCGTCACACAGTGTGGCGTCACACAGTGTAGCGTCACACAGTGTGGCGTCACACAGTGTGGCGACACACAGTGTAGCGTAACCCAGTGTGGCGTCACACAGTGTGGCGTCACACAGTGTAGCGTCACACAGTGTAGCGTCACACAGTGTGGCGTCACACAGTGTAGCGTCACACAGTGTGGCGTCACACAGTGTAGCGTCACACAGTGTGGCGTCACACAGTGTAGCGTCACACAGTGTAGCGTCACACAGTGTGGCGTCACACAGTGTAGCGTCACACAGTGTAGCGTCACACAGTGTAGCGTCACACAGTGTGGTGTCACACAGTGTAGCCAAGGATCCCGTCACCCCTCATACTCTTTACGTCACATCAAAACAAATTTCTGGTACAAAATATTACACAAAAAAACAACACGTTTGGATCGAAATTTATTACATATGAAAACATAAATTTTACTGATCAAACCAACTCTGATGATTGGTACCTAAACAATATAGCTAATGTAACTAATAGTCAGCATCCTCCGGCAGCCACGGGAGATAAGACAAAGATGCTGTGAGGTCGGGATCACTGTTGGCCGTTGTCTGTGGGTAAGATAAACGTAATTATAATATCTTCTCCCATTCTCCACTCACATCAATAAAGATACGGAAGAAACACACTGAACTAAAAAGTATATTTTGCGCCCTCTATTGGGATTGTGTTCATCATACACTGAGTATGGTTGTATGTGGTGTATATACTCAAGATTATTCCTATGGTGAGCCTAAAGTATTAGTAAGGTCTTCATACTGTCACTTTTCTTGGCCCTTTGTATGTTTATATATTAGAAGACGAGAGAGAGAGAGAGAGAGTGAGAGAGAGAGAGAGAGAGAGAGAGAGAGAGAGAGAGAGAGAGAGAGAGAGCGAGAGAGAGCACCAATAAGCAATACATTCTTATTGGAAAAGTCTGCTTATTAGTGCCTTTAATTAATGTACATTTCTTATCTACGAACTCTCCAATTTATCATGTATCAGATGTATGTACTTTATATAAATAAATGATTAATATTATTAATATTATTATTATTATTATACACACAGAAATAACAATAACGTGATACATCAAATGAACAAATCCACAAGGCCATGGGTTCGAACCGTCACCAAGGCCCTTGTGCCTTGTTTATTACTACTACTACTACACATCGTACCGTGAGGTGGTGGCCGGGAGGTCCGTGCCTCTCAGGGGGACGCTAACCTAAGCACGGGCAGCACTGGCCACGGCCGCCGTGTCTGGGGGCAAAACCAGCAGTCGGGTATCTGGTGGTCTCGATGACGATGACGGAGATCCGCGTGATCTCCGGGCAGGCACAGCACCCTCCACCCGGGTGGTGGGCCGCCCTCTCCACCCGGGACTCCGACAAGGACGAGAACAGCTCCACAGGGCTCTCCTGCAGCAGGGGGACAGACGAGACCTTCAGTTATGTTACTCAACATTATACTTCGTTCTCTTTCCTATATTATTGAGTGATCAACAAGTGTGAAGGGAGGCCAAGCAGTCACGAAGTGTGAAGGACCTAGTGATCAACAAGTGTGAAGGACCTAGTGATCAACAAGTGTGAAGGACCTAGTGATCAACAAGTGTGAAGGACCTAGTGATCAACAAGTGTGAAGGACCTAGTGATCAACAAGTGTGAAGGACCTAGTGATCAACAAGTGTGAAGGACCTAGTGATCAACAAGTGTGAAGGACCTAGTGATCAACAAGTGTGAAGGACCTAGTGATCAACAAGTGTGAAGGACCTAGTGATCAACAAGTGTGAAGGACCTAGTGATCAACAAGTGTGAAGGACCTAGTGATCAACAAGTGTGAAGGACCTAGTGATCAACAAGTGTGAAGGAGGACGTAGTCAAGAAGTGTGTAAGGGAGTACTTACCGCAGGAGCAGCCTCCGTCGCCACCAGCAGGAAGCAGAGACCCGCTACAAGCACCAACATAGTCTTCATCTTGCCAGGTCTAACTTGGTATCTCTGAAAATTAACGTCATGTAACTTGCTTTTCTATCTGGATTTACTAAATTAATACAAAGTTACTGATTCGCTGCAAAAAATACAATTTGTTGGTCCTAAAGATAGTGTGGGAGTAAGGTAAACTGTCAGAGTATAAGGTAAAGTGAGGTACACCTCTCAGAGTATGAGAGTATACATGTGGCTTACCTGCTGCAGGACAAGGTGGGAGCTGTACTGCTGTTCCTCCAGCAGTTGGTCCTTATATACGTCCGTGTAGACGGAGGGGGGGGGGGGTAGGCTGGAGGTGTGAGGGTGTGTGGCAGTGTTGGGGGGGGGGTGTCTGGGGCTGGGGGGAATGTAACTGTGTAAATGACGCAAGAATGCAACATATTGTTACGTGATCATTGGTCGCTAATATAAAATGATACATTATATATATATATATATATATATATATGTCGTACCTAGTAGCCAGAACGCACTTCTCGGCCTACTATTCAAGGCCCGATTTGCCTAATAAGCCAAGTTTTCCTGAATTAATATATTTTCTCTAATTTTTTTCTTATGAAATGATAAAGCTACCCATTTCATAATGTATGAGGTCAATTTTTTTTATTGGAGTTAAAATTAACGTAGATATATGACCGAACCTAACCAACCCTACCAAACCAAACCTAACCTATCTTTATAGGTTAGGTTGGGTTAGGTAGCCGAAAAAGTTAGGTTAGGTTAGGTTAGGTAGGTTAGATAGTCGAAAAACAATTAATTCATGAAAACTTAGCTTATTAGGCAAATCGGGCCTTGCATAGTAGGCTGAGAAGTGAGTTCTGGCTACTAGGTACGACATATATATATATATATATATATATATATATATATATATATATATATATATATATATATATATATATATATATATATATATATATATATATATTTGTTGCAGCTGTGTTTGATGATTCTCAAGATTCCTCAAGTTCTTCTTCAGTTGAGAAGGAAGTTGAAAAGTTAACTGTAAAGATCATGTTACTTGTCCTGACGCTAAGAGCTGCGTTTCGCTGACCCAGTTACCATTCTCAAGGGTCAGAGGTGACGTGACTACAAGCCAGCTGAGCACCCAACACTGGGGCCAAGACGGACCCGGTGAAGTAAAGTCTTACATTGACCAGTTGGCCTTCTGCAGTTGGCCTGATACTTGTCTTTATTTATTATTAAATTTTGCCCCGAGGTGTGAGTTTATTGGTCAGCGTCACTCATCCTGTGAGTGGTCACACCGCCATAGTGACAGTATTGGGCAGCGCCACTCATCCTGTGAGTGGACACACCGCCATAGTGACAGTATTGGGCAGCGCCACTCATCCTGTGAGTGGTCACACCGCCATAGTGACAGTATTGGTCAGCGACACTCATCCTGTGATTGGACACACCGCCATAGTGACAGTATTGGGCAGCGCCACTCATCCTGTGATTGGACACACCGCCATAGTGACAGTATTGGGCAGCGCCACTCATCTTGTGAGTGGACACACCGCCATAGTGACAGTATTGGGCAGCGCCACTCATCTTGTGAGTGGACACACCGCCATAGTGACAGTATTGGGCAGCGCCACTCATCTTGTGAGTGGACACACCGCCATAGTGACAGTATTGGGCAGCGCCACTCATCCTGTGATTGGACACACCGCCATAGTGACAGTATTGGGCAGCGCCACTCATCTTGTGAGTGGACACACCGCCATAGTGACAGTATTGGGCAGCGCCACTCATCTTGTGAGTGGACACACCGCCATAGTGACAGTATTGGGCAGCGCCACTCATCTTGTGAGTGGACACACCGCCATAGTGACAGTATTGGGCAGCGCCACTCATCCTGTGATTGGACACACCGCCATAGTGACAGTATTGGGCAGCGCCACTCATCTTGTGAGTGGACACACCGCCATAGTGACAGTATTGGGCAGCGCCACTCATCCTGTGAGTGGACACACCGCCATAGTGACAGTATTGGTCAGCGCCACTCATCCTGTGATTGGACACACCGCCATAGTGACAGTATTGGGCAGCGCCACTCATCTTGTGAGTGGACACACCGCCATAGTGACAGTATTGGGCAGCGCCACTCATCCTGTGAGTGGACACACTGCCATAGTGACAGTATTGGGCAGCGCCACTCATCCTGTGATTGGACACACCGCCATAGTGACAGTATTGGGCAGCGCCACTCATCCTGTGATTGGACACACCGCCATAGTGACAGTATTGGTCAGCGCCACTCATCCTGTGAGTGAACACACAGCCATAGTGACAGTATTGGGCAGCGTCACTCATCCTGTGATTGGACACACCGCCATAGTGACAGTATTGGTCAGCGCCACTCATCCTGTGAGTGGACACACCGCCATAGTGACAGTATTGGTCAGCGCCACTCATCCTGTGAGTGGACACACCGCCATAGTGACAGTATTGGTCAGCGCCACTCATCCTGTGAGTGGACACACCGCCATAGTGACAGTATTGGTCAGCGCCACTCATCCTGTGATTGGACACACCGCCATAGTGACAGTATTGGTCAGCGCCACTCATCCTGTGATTGGACACACCGCCATAGTGACAGTATTGGGCAGCGCCACTCATCTTGTGATTGGACACACCGCCATAGTGACAGTATTGGGCAGCGCCACTCATCTTGTGATTGGACACACCGCCATAGTGACAGTATTGGTCAGCGCCACTCATCCTGTGATTGGACACACCGCCATAGTGACAGTATTGGGCAGCGCCACTCATCTTGTGATTGGACACACCGCCATAGTGACAGTATTGGTCAGCGCCACTCATCCTGTGATTGGACACACCGCCATAGTGACAGTATTGGTCAGCGCCACTCATCCTGTGATTGGACACACCGCCATAGTGACAGTATTGGTCAGCGCCACTCATCTTGTGATTGGACACACCGCCATAGTGACAGTATTGGGCAGCGCCACTCATCCTGTGAGTGGACACACCGCCATAGTGACAGTATTGGTCAGCGCCACTCATCCTGTGAGTGGACACACCGCCATAGTGACAGTATTGGTCAGCGCCACTCATCCTGTGATTGGACACACCGCCATAGTGACAGTATTGGTCAGCGCCACTCATCTTGTGATTGGACACACCGCCATAGTGACAGTATTGGGCAGCGCCACTCATCCTGTGAGTGGACACACCGCCATAGTGACAGTATTGGTCAGCGCCACTCATCCTGTGATTGGACACACCGCCATAGTGACAGTATTGGTCAGCGCCACTCATCTTGTGATTGGACACACCGCCATAGTGACAGTATTGGGCAGCGGCACTCATCTTGTGAGTGGACACACCGCCATAGTGACAGTATTGGTCAGCGCCACTCATCCTGTGAGTGGACACACCGCCATAGTGACAGTATTGGGCAGCGCCACTCATCTTGTGATTGGACACACCGCCATAGTGACAGTATTGGTCAGCGCCACTCATCTTGTGATTGGACACACCGCCATAGTGACAGTATTGGTCAGCGCCACTCATCTTGTGATTGGACACACCGCCATAGTGACAGTATTGGTCAGCGCCACTCATCTTGTGAGTGGACACACCGCCATAGTGACAGTATTGGTCAGCGCCACTCATCTTGTGAGTGGATACACCGCCATAGTGACAGTATTGGTCAGCGCCACTCATCCTGTGAGTGGACACACCGCCATAGCAGCATGTACAACACTCCCCAAAAGGAAGAAAACCCGCTGGGTTGTTCATCCTGTCTGCTTATGATGCACCTGCTGCTTATGTTCTTAGGGTATAGCACCTGCACGCTGTACCTCTGTACCGTGCAGGTGCTCTGTATGGCATCATGTACCGTGCAGGTACTGTGTATGGCATTATGTACCGTGCAGCCTCTCCTCTCAGCTCTCTTACCCAGGATATTTCTATTAATAATTTTCTTATCTCCTCGTAGTTCCCGTTTCGTTATGCCAACCTTGTGTTGTGTGGTCCCTTCCTTGAGCTCGTTATCCCTACTTCCTCCAGTTACTCCAACGTCAGTACTCTGTCATCACTCTGTGTACTCACCTAGTTGTGCTTGCGGAGGTTTAGCTTTGGCTCTTTGGTCCCGCCTCTCAGCTGTCAACTGGTATACAGATTCCTGAGCCTATTGGGCTCTTTCATATCTACATTTGAAACTGTGTATGGAGTCAGCCTCCCCACATCACTGCCTAGTGCATTCCATTTACTAACTGCTCTGACACCGAAAAAGTTCTTTCTAATGTCTCTGTGGCTCGTTTGGGTACTCAGCTTCCACCTGTGTCCTTTTGTTCGAGTACCCACCCGTGTTAAATAATGCATCCTTGTCTACCCTATCAATTCTCCAGAGAATTTTGTATGTGGTGATTATGTCTCCCAGAGTTCTTCTATCTTCCAGCGACTTGAGGTGAATTTCACACAGTCTTTCCTCATAACTCATGCCTCTTAGTTCTGGAACTTGCCTAGTGGCATACCTCTGAACATTTTCTAGCTTCGGTTTGTGCTTGACAAGGTACGGGCTCCATGCTGGGGCCGCATATTCCAGGATTGGTCTTACATATGTGGTATACAAGGTTCTGAATGATTTCTTGCACAAGTTTCTGAATAAAGGCAGTTCTGATTTCTGCCAGGCTTGCATACGCCGCTGATGTGAGTGTTTACTATTTGTGTCTTCAGCATCGAGCTATTAGCTCTTGGACCCCGCCTATGCAACCACTCTATTTTTCCTCTATTATATCTACTACATATATTTATCTCCAACACACATACACACATTCCCAGGAAGCTGCCCATAGCAGTGGGCTGTGGGGGGGGGGGGGGTGTACGGAGAGGGTAGTAAAGTCTTTCAGGATTTTACGAAGAAAAACCAGTTTTCTTGAGACATTGTATAAAGAAGAGCAATGTGATATTTTCCCAGTGTCTCCCCTTCGAACTGGTCGTGTCCTAGTTGTACCTAGAATACCTAGCTGTATTTACCTAGTTGTGCTTGCGGGGATTGAGCTCTGCTCTTTCCGCCCGCCTCTCAACTGTCAATCAACTGATCAACTGGAGGCCCTAAACAACACACACACACACGTGTGTGTGTGTGTGTGTGTGTGTGTGTGTGTGTGTGTGTGTGTGTGTGTGTGTGTGTGTGTGTGTGTGTGTACTCATCTAGTTGTACTCACCTAGTTGTGTTTGCGGGGGTTGAGCTCTGGCTCTTTGGTCCCGCCTCTCAACCGTCAATCAA